GTAGTAGTAGTAGTAGTAGTATCATCATTGCTACTATCATCGTCGCTATTACTATTGTCATAAGTATTCTCTGCAGGCTCTCTTGCAGAGGCTTTTGGTGTTCATGGCCGAGTCAACGTCCCATGCGAAGCAGTTGAAGGGCATCCATGAGCAGATCCCGCAGGACGTTGAGGGAGGTTTGGGGTGTCCTGGATTTTGAGGCTGAGGTTTCGGCTTTTTGGGTTTTTGGGTTGAAGGATGTTTAGGGTCTGTGGATTTTTAGAGGGCTTTGGGATTTTGGGATTCAGGGTTTCTGGGCTTAGGGGCATTCAACGCGAAGGCTACCATCGGCACGGCCGTCTCTTTGACCATGAAAGCTCCCTCGCTGCTGGTTTTTCTCTGTGTGCTGACGACATGGCTACAAGCAGCTACCATCTACATGGTCCGCCCTTTCGTCCTCTGCATGCAGGCCGGCGGCAGAGCAGAGGAGCATTTCGATTCGTTTTCGGATCCTTGCAGAAATTGCGAGGCCGCGAAAGGCTTGGCCTGGGTCAACGCCTGCTTGTGGGACTTCAGCCGCGCCCGAGCCTGCTGCTGGTGGCGCCCGGCACTGGGCTCGGCCGCCTTCGCCTGTGTGGCTTTGGACGAGGTCGGAAAGCGCCGAATCTGAGCTCTGGTGTGAAACAGACCCTGAGCCCATGGAACCCTGTTAACTGACTCAAGAACTGTACAGTACTCCTATGCTAGTAGGAGAGCTCGTTGGAGCTGCGCAGCGGCGCCGCAGCAGCCCTTTGCGAGGAGGCCCAACCCAAGACCTTCCAACAAAACCCCACACTGGCCCCGAAACCCTGAACCTCCAAACCTAAACCCTACTGTAGTATATTGCAGTACGTATATCATAGTATATCATATACTCTAAACCTTAAAACCCTAAGCCCTACACTCCCAAATCTCCAAGCCCGGAAGCGACAGCGGCAGGTGGAGGCAGAGCAAAGTCAAAGCTTGAAGGATCTAGAGGCAGCGGTATTCAAGCGTCGGGGCGCCGAGTGCAAGTTCACATCTCAACAGAAAGCTACTGGTGGGGTTCAGGTCTAGGGGTTAAGGTTTAAGATGGTTTAAGCTTTAAGGGGGTTGGGCAGGAAGTCCAGGTTCGTTGCTGCCATGTCATGCACGATGCCTTTACAAGACCGCGACTTTTTGTCGCACTCCTTAGGTGCAGCTTTGCACTGTACCGAGCATGGCAGGACATCCCTTACCAGGAACGTTTCCGCTTCCCCTTATCGAAAATTCTGCTGAGGTCTCGTGGCACAGGAGGGCTCTGAGGCCATCATCGAAGCCCTCGCGCAGGGGCCCATCAGCCACGCCCTTATAGTTACGATGACTCGAACTCTCTTTTCGGTGCTCCTCTGAGGCGACGACCCGGAGCTCTCCGTGGCCCCGGGCATAGCCAAGAAGTGGCGCCTGCTCGCTGCCATTCTGGCGCGGACCTCGCAGGCGAACGTCAACTTTATGCAAATCACCCCGGAGATCTTAGAGAAGGAGCTGCTGCCCCGCCTGGAGAAGGAGAGATACCTCCCGCTCAAGTACGTGAACCTGAACGACAACAAGGAACTCTGCAAGACTAAGGCTGGCTGCAAGCTCAGAGAAAAGCGAGAGCGATAGCGACAGAGAGAGAGAGAGAGAGAGAGAGAGAGGAGAGAATGAGACATTCCCGGATTTTTTCCACTCGACCTTGATGATTCAGCTTTCATTGGGGAATCATCCGTAAGGATATCAGCGATGCAATCACCACATCTTGTTCAGCTACAAGCTCTGAAGCCTACATAACTCCCTCAAAAGTCCGTAAGCCCTAAACCCCCAAACCCTCTAAACCCAAAGCCCTCGCCAAAAACTCGACTTTAGTCCCTATCCCCTAAACCTTAAATCCCTAATCACTAAACCCCTCCAAATCTGCTGTGTTGAGTTTAGTGGGTGGCATAGGTCGATGTTGGGCGACACCCCCAGAACTTAGAAACCTTTGCAGTCTCTCTTGGCAGGACGGGAGCTCAAAAGCCCTGTGGGTGTCCCTTGTCACGGAACCTTCACAATCCCCTTAAGTTGCCCCTAGGTCCTAGGTTTCCCTTTTAAAGGAACCTTCAAAGGGCGCCTTGACGTGTTTCTTCTCCTTTGCCAGGAAGGGATCGACCAGGTCCTGGAGCTCCTGAAGCGCTGCCCGAAGCTCGAAAGGCTGCGCCTGCAGCGCACCGGCGGGGGACCCCAGAAGAGACCAATTTCAGACGTTTTGGGTTTCGAAAGGCCTAGAATCCTAGAACCTAGGTTTGTGAAGCCAAAGCTAATCAACTTAGTTGCTTGTTTCTGCAAGACCCGCACCTTTCCTTTTTTGGTATTTTGGGATCTAGGTAGAGGTGTTCTGGCGGGTCTGAGATTTGTGGTTTAATGTTTTCGGGCTTAGGAGTTGGGTGGGAAGCCGGGTTGGCCGAAAGGAGGCACCCCAAACCGTGCACCCCGAAGCCTTAAGACCCCACAGCCAGCAAACCCTGAACCCCCAAACCCTAAATTCCTCCATTTTGGGCTTGGGGTTTCCGGGATTAGGGCTTAGATTCGCGTAGATAACCCTAAGCTCCGATAATAGGGTTTAGGAGGTTTACAGGGTCTTCATATGACCCCTATATTCCCACATCGGAAGCCTATAGGGTTTTCACACGAAGCCTAAGCCCGAGGCATCTCGGAGTACGCGGAGGGCAAGGCACGGCTACAGCAGGCATGGGGTCCCCAAAGAGAGGCCAAGCTGCTGGAGTTGGATGAGGCCCGCAAATGAGGAGCCAAAGCACCAAAAGGTAAACTTTACAGGGCTTGAGGTTCTTTGTTTTTCTGGGTTCCTACAAGTGAGGAACTTGACTGAGAATCCTCCACCAGGGTAAAACAGTCAGGGGCCACACTGCGAGCTCGGTTGAGAAACGACGGGTTCAACATGCCTAACACAACAGGATCCACCTTCGCAGCTCACAGCCCAAAGAAGAGCGGAAGGTTCAATATCCATAGAACCAAAAGATCAAACTTTAAACCCTGGAAGCCCTAAGCACGAACCCCTAAACCATCTGAGCCTTATGCCGTGCCCTAAACCCCAAACCTTACTACCGAACCCTGAAGTATAGACTGACCCTGAACTCTAAGACCCTAAGAGCCCTACAACGGCCATATGCCTTAAACCCTCAACCTAAGCCCTGAACCCTTCCACGAACTGTGGATTCTGCTTATCTTAACTGTTAGGCGGAAAAGGGTGTTCAACAACTAAACCTTAAGCCCTAAACCGTAAACCCTAAGCCTTAAACCCTAAACCCTAAAGAAACCCTAAGCTCTAAATCCTAAACCCTAAGCCGTCAACCTTAAACCCTAAACCCTAAACCTTAAACCCTAAGCCTTAAACCCTAAACCCTAAAAAACCAAAAGCTCTAAACCCTAAACCCTAAATCTTAAGCCGTAAGCCCTAAACCCTAAACCCTAAACCCCTACAGACCCTAAGGCTTAAATCCTACACCCCTACAAACCCGAAGAGCCCAAAAAGGAACCCGGAGTTTCTCAGGGAGTCGGCGTCTCACTAACGTACAAAGAGCAAAAAAATTTTTGCTCTTTGAATTTTGCTCTTTAAATTTTTTTTTGCTTTTTTTCACAGAGCGCAAGGTCCGAGGAGTGCCCTCGCGCCAGATCTCAATGTGCGAGAAAAGGGTTTAGGGGTTAGGGCCTAGGGTTTAGATTTGGGTTTAGGGTTGAGTCTTGGGTTTAGGGTTTAGTGTTGGGTTTAGGCTTGAGGGTTTAGGGTTTAGGCTTTAAGATTTAGGGTTCAAGAGCCAGTTCTGCCCTCAAACCCCCCCAGCCCGAAAGCCAGAGATCCTCAATCCGCCCGAAACCTTTGAAGCCCCCCTTATGGGGTCAGCTCTTCGTGGAGCCAGGTGCGTCGAAGTCATCCGACCCCAGAGTTGCCCGGGTCCAGGCAGCTCCACAGAGGCCGAGTGGCAGCAAAATACACAGGCAGTTTTCGAGCTGAGGGTCCCTGTCTAGGTCGCCAGCTGCAGCAATGGACCTTGACAGGGACCCTTGTTTAGGGAAGTCTTCTTGATCCCTTCATAGGAACCCCAAAATGGGGACCCGAGTTTTAGAGAACGACCCATAGCCTTACTGCCCTGCGCAGGGAAGTGAGCTCCGGCCTGAGGTCCGGACTCGAAGCTTCGAGAGCCCTGGGTCTCTGGTGCTTCGGGTAAAAAGTGAGCGGCACCTGAAGTCAGGGAGATCGAAGCTTCAAGTTTTGCCTATCACATTGCATATCTCACGGTACATATACATATATACATATATATATACACACATACATACATACATACATACATACATACATACATACATACATACGTACATACATATCCATCATATTGTATCATCTTGTATCATCTCGGCAGTCAGCAAGTTCATTGCTTCGACGGATGCCCGCAAGAGCGTGTTTCGGGCCCAAGCTGCGGCGGACAGCAGAGGATGCTGTGAGCCCGGGCGCCTCTGCGTGCCTCTCAATATTCTATGCTTCTTCGAGTTAGATTCACATGCATCTTGAATGAGGGTAGTCCCTAAACTCGAAACCGATTCTGCAATGAATGTAGTGATTGAAGGCGTTTTTCGATCTAAACCTGCAGCGCCATGGCTTGCTCCAACGTGGATCTGGATCTTTGGAAGGCGCCGCCGCTGCCACGGTTGGGTTATGTTTCACAGCTTTCTTTTTTAAAGATGACTCCGACTGACGAACATGTTGGGCTTCGGCGAAACCACCAGGTAATGATCAATGGCAACAGCTTCAGGAAGATGGTAGATAGCACAGCCTCGGCCGTGCTGGTGGTGGGGCCGATGGGTGCAGGAAAGAGCACCACCATCGCCATCCAGACGGGTGCCAAGTATGAAGCAGTGAAGGAGGAGGTGGTGGGTCAGCATGGAATAGACCAATATCGGAAGCAGTAATTCGTAAGCTGTTATCAAAATACAGGTTATTATCTTGCTTCCTGACCCTTTTCGGGACGAACCTGCAAGAGGTTCACACTTGTAGGCTCGCATTGAAGCATTGAGTTCCTTGCATAAGTTGTGTGACTCGGGCCCAAGCCGTGCGAGTTGCAGGTGCATGGGAGATTGAAGAAGGTTTACAGATGCGTGCAGGCAGACAACCGAAGGCCGCAGACTGCGGATGGCTATACCTCGAAGACCCTGAACATGGGCTTGTACATTGCGGAAGAGAGGTTTGGCGGCTACACCTATCTGGACACGGCGGGTCTGAATGAAGATCGTACAGGGACACATCGCGCGTGGACCCAATGGAGTTTGGCCACAAGCTTCTCCCTCTTGCCCAAAATCACATCGGTGTCCTAGTAGCAGAAAGTTAACAGAAAACACCGGCACAAGTTTTTTTTATATGATGGTGTCCCGTCTGATTGTTCAATTTCCTTTTCTCGGGTTGACCTTTCGAGGTGATTTTGGTCATGGATTTTCGAACTTTGGTAGCAGAAAGGGGCCACGGCGTCCGCGCAATGGCGAGATCCTTGCTGCCCATCACGGGCAGTGGACAAGCCTCGAAGCATTTCTACGACTCCATGATCTTCCTGTTCACCAACGCATATGAGGATGGAGAGCGGGTTGAAGCTGAGAGTATTATCCAGATCGCCAAGACACAGTTTGCTGAGCAGAAACATCTGTTCAAGGCTTTCTGTCAACGTCGCACAGATGTTGATGCTCAGGCCATTGTGGATGATCCGGATTTTGCAGAACACACTGCCCTTCTGACCTTCTTGGAAACACTATCCGAAGCAACCGGTCGTGTTCACGTGTGCTTCCCAGATACACCAGAGAAGTCAGACAGACAGCGCGTGGCCGTGCAGAAAATGATTGAAGGTTCGAAGCCGATCACCAGACGCATGCTGGGGGAGATTGTGTCCACACGACCAACCGGAAATTTGGAGGTCCGTCGAAAGAGGGACGTTGGATTCGCTTTTTGTTTTTCCCCCGCTTCCTCACATCAGATCCACGTCTCTTGCCAACATGCAGTCGTAGCGGAAGAGGGGAAACCCTCCGGACTTCGCCCCTGCAAGTTTGCTTTAAGTGATGGGCTTAGGCTTAGGCTTAGGGTTTTCCTGCTATGTGGAGGTGCTGCAGATCTTCGCGAAGCTGGCAACCGAGCCGGACAGCCGCCTGGATGGGAAAAGCTACACCGAGATCTTGCATCAGAGAGCGGACCATCTGCAGAGGCTTGTGCATCTCAAGGAGAAGCATAAGGAGAGGCTGCAGGCAGGGATCGGATAGCTGGGACATTCTTGTTTCCAAGGTGTCTATCGCATTCCAGAAGAATGGCGCATCACATCGTATAGACTATTCACAGGTGTTGTTTGGAGTGTCCATGCCTTTAGTCATGGTGACGTAGTGGTTTGCGTGTGTGCGTGTGTGTCTTGCCACGTCTGCGCTTGATTGTCAGGCCATTGACAGTGACTGGCAGTCGGTTCAACGGGACATGCTCTCTGCGCTTCGTGAGCAGAAGGAAGGGATTGTTCAGCAGAAGAGAGATGCTCAGAGAAGGATCGCAAGACTGAAAGTTTCCGAGTCTCCCAGAGTGATTGCCACCAGAGAAGTGAAGAAATCATACCCGACCTCTGGCTGGTGGGCATTATGCTTCTTTGGAGGAGGTTGGGGATGGGGAAAGCAGTCTGCTCGCGAGACGCTCGACTATAGAGCTGCGTGGTTCTCCAGGTATGAGGTCAGAGGTGGAGACTACAAAATGGAAGTTCGGATAGAAGAGCCAGCTAAAGGCGTGCTCGGAGTTGACTTCACTTCAACGCCAGGGGTAAACTTGGACGTCACTGTGAGCTTCTATCGCCCAGAGAAAGACACGGAGGAGACCGCGCAACAGGTTGCATCATTGGAGCGGCAGGTCGACGGTCTAACAACTCAGCTCGAGGAGTGCGAGACAAAGATTTGTGCTTTCACCTGCGCTGATTCTCCAACAAACCTGGCGGCATTGATCATGACTGAGAAAGATGCTCTGGAGCAAGCGGATCGAGACTTGGTGGAGATGCTTGACCGGCCTGCCACACAGCCAACTGACGACTTCCCAAAGCCCCCGTCTCAATGGAGCGTCATCACCAACTTCAGGGGCGTCTTATCCGTGTTGGTTGAAAATCAGATGCTTCCCTCGGACTTGGCCCCGAGCACCCGCGAGCCTATCGAAGCTTTCGGGGAGGCCTGGGATCAAGTGCAGAAGCATCTGCGAGACCTCGAGAGAGGTCCTGGAAGCAGCATCATCACCTTGCGGAAGAGCGACCTCTCGAGTCACCAATCAGAAGATGCCCCGCCGGTGAAGCCCAGCTTCCGGGCCATGGCTCGTGCTTCCATGGAGACCTTCTGCACAGCATCGGTCCTCGATAAGGCTGGAGTGGGCCAAACGGGAAACGAAACTGATGGTATAGGGTCCACCTGTACGTTCTTCAGCTTGCAACTGTTCCAGAAGATAGAAGCACTCAATGTCATTGGGTGTGCCACAGTACCCTTTAAGCCCTACAAGGCCCCAAACCCCTGAACCCCTGAAGGGCCCCAAAAACCCCTTATAAGTCCATGAAACGCAGCAACTTCTGGGAACTTCAGGCCTTCCTCTTCTACGAAGGGCTGAAGCGTCAGCCCGTTGCTTTGGCAGCTGCACTCTGCACTTATGGCATTCTGCTGAAGGTGTGGCCTTCCCAAACCCTAAACCCTAAACCCTAAACCCTAAACCCTAAACCGTGGTGAAGGTGTGGCCTTCCGAGGGCCTGCAGGGCGTCTTCGGGAACATGCTCCTGGCTCTGTCAGTGTATGTGCTGGTTTGGCAGCTCTGCAACGTCGGAGTCCACAAAGCCGCTCTGGCCGCTGATAGCGTCGGCCACCAGGTCGGCAGTTTCAAACCCTGGCTCGAGGGCCTTGCGAGAGATGCAGGGGCGGCCACGGGGGACATGACCCAGAGCCTGGGAGACCGGCTGGCTGCGGCTCTGGACAAGGCAGTTGGGAATCTGAAAGCCTTGGTCACAGTTTTCTAGGTGCCAGGGTACACTGTACCTCTCTTGTTGGGCGCCGCCTCCTCTGCAGATGGTTTCCTTGCAAGGAAACTTGGCTGGTCCTCCAACCCTTTGCAGGGCAGTGCTCTGCACTTCTGCAGTTGCTGGTTCCTGGGAATGTCTCCGCAGACTGCAAGAATCCCAAGTCGTAAAGAACAGCAGCAGCAGCCGAGGTTATCGCGGTTATACTAAGCACCATTTGTTGATGATTCTGTCCGAGACATGCTCATCAGACTCAGACCGATTCTTCAGGAATCAACGCTTAGACTCAGACTTAGATCGTGCCAGCATGTACAGGTCGCACGGCGCCGCTCGACTGAAACAATGCCTGGCCACTCCCTGTTGCTTACACCAGCACGGAACTGTAGAAGGAGCCATGAAGGGGAATGCATCCTTTCGCCCCTCACTCCAAAACCTCCTGAAGCTCTTCACAGAGGCCGCTGGACGGCGCATCTTCTGGTCCTTGGGTTGTAGTTCTGACACCCTCAGCCAATACCCCTCAACCACCTCAACCGCCTCAACCGCAACCGCCTCAACCCTCAACCCTCGATTCTATATCGTATCTCCGAATGCTGAACTGCTTGATGCAGCTGCAAAAGCCAACGCCCTTACAACCCTCTGTCAGCTCTAAGTGGGCCTGTGACCGCTTGGCCACCTGCGCCTCATGGAAACTGCGGATGATGCGGATCACGACCAACCAGATACCGTGGTCTTCGAAGTGAACGTGGGGCAGACGGGGCAATCAGCAAGGATTTCACCTTTTGCGACCGGGTGTTGGGGTTTCGAGTCTGGGAGTTAGGGTCTAGGCTTTGGGGTTTCGGTTTTCGGAAGATTCGGGGATCTGTTGCCGGACGAAGACACCCAAATCGGTAACTGTCAAACATGGCATCCCAGAGTTTGGGAACCCCGAAAGAGACCCTTACGCTTTAAACCCCAAACCCAAAAACCCAAACCCCAAACTCCAAACCCCAAACCCCAAACCCCAAACCCCAAACCCTAAACCCTAAACCCTAAACCCCAATCCCTGAACCCCAAACCCTCTCAGAGCCCCCAAGAGGTGGGTGGTTGTCAAAACTAGGGTCCCTTTTTGGGTCCTTATCCCAGGTGGATGGAGAGCCCGCCGAGCCGGCTGCGGCTTCAAGGGCCTCCAAAGCCTCGAAGGCCTCCAAAGCCTCGAAGGCCTCGGTGCTTTCCGGAGGCCGAAATTTTGGGGACTCTTTTATTTTTTTGCGGGGGGGGGGGGGGGGG